CTTTTCAATGAATCAGCATTCAGGACAGCACATAGTACTGATGATAACATATTTAGTTCATAAGAATTCCTCAAGGCAAGAACAGATTTGTATGGTAATAAGCACACCAAGTGTTGAAGTAAAAAACTTTTTCAAAAAATTCAAATGTATTACAATTGCCGCAGGAAGTTCAAAGTGGGACAACGAATACACAAAATGATAGCCTGAAATTTCCTCCTTAATTTCACACCAAAAGATTACTTTACATGGAAAATAACAGTTCAAAATAGGCTGAAACTTAGCACTGAACTATGCGTGCCAGATACAGACTTCTGCGACATGTGACAAAAGCCGCTGGCATGCCATGCACAATCTACAACACTGAAGGGTTAAAATTATTCCCTTCTCATACATTACGCTGCACTTTGAACATGGCGATTTTCAGACTTACCTCAAAGGCAGGTGAAAGCCATGGGCCAGCATGCAGGTCTGACACAGTGCTGGTGCCAGCAGAATTCATTGCCGATGAGTGTCGTGTGGAAGGAGGAGATGAGTGCACTGGAGGGGCACGATGTTGGTGGTGGCTGTGTCTCGCACGATGTTGGCGGTGGCTGTGTCTCGCACGACGTTGGCGGTGGCTATGTCTCACCCGTGTTGGTGACGTCTGCTGGACCAGTGCAGGGTCATGAGAATTCCCATCCTAAATGGGGATAAATTATGAAATTTTATTGTAGAGAAGTAACTCCTCAAGCAATGAGTAGTGGATTGAGAAACTGGAAGACAGAAATTACATATCTCTATCACTAAGTTTCTGGATTTTGTCCATCAACTTGTATTCTGAATTTATTTATTTGCAATTACATTTCATAGATCCAGTTGTTTCCCAGTAGGGATGGATATGAAATTCGTCACATACAAAGTCTGAGCGCAATGTTTCATAAACACTGATCTGTGCCTGTCCCTGAGGTGAAGGCGTCCTACTTAGGCGGATCCATTTGAAAGAGCTAATCTTAATCACAGAAAAATCTAAGTCAATCAACTATATCTATATATGCAGATGTGATCATGTTGTCATTGGGAGATCTATAATAAGAAAAGTGGACATACCATAAAGGCCTAAAACCCAAACCAAATGCAGGAAAAACAATGCAGAAGACATCTGAAATTTACACGCCATGATATACACTCCTACTTCAAATAACAATATAAGAAAATTTTGACTTGATTTTGGCTATTTGTGAATCTCATGGTACTGGCATTATCACATCTTCTTTGTATACGTTAGGGGCTTCATTTCTGGCCAAACACTGGTGAAATACAGAACACTGAAACTGGTTTTTATGGTACCATAAATCACATTTACATGAAAGTAATTAGTAAATAACCATTCAGAATTGGAAGTGGGTATACGAACCATAGCACTTACTACAGAGTGACCTATTACAAAATGAACAATATGGCTACCAACTGACAGGACTGAGATAACAATTAAACTTCATGTAATGTGGTAGTGATGATAATGATGTAGTTGTCCTTGTGCTTAATTAGACATCACATCAAGAAGGTGTATGGGTAGTGGAGGTACAGTTCCAGCCACTCTTAATCTTGATGCTAAATGGATGGGGCCTATCAGTTCCATGTCCCAGACATTTCACCCTGTGGTACCTACTTAATGGATTGTTGTGTAGGCCCTAGATTCAGTCTGAATGCTATAGAGAAAAGAAAAACCCAACTTCCTGACTACTGTGACAGAAGCCTAGTTAAGAACAGTAACTCAGCCATCCTGGCTTCCAGGAAAACTTAACTTTCCCTGCCTAATATCAACATAACTGTGGCAAGGCCTGAGAAAAATTACTGCTTGAATTCCATAAACTTCTTCTGGGCAAGATTTCCAACACACAAAATAAATGTTTACATTGTCCGCATGCGATTATGAGGAAAACGCCGATGGGGCACAAGACAGCTGCTAGAATCATGTGGGAGGAATTTGCATCACTGCAGGTTACATAACAAAGACATTTCTTATTTTAACTTTTAGATATGTTTAACCATTAAAGTTTTAGATTTCTAAATGTGCAATTTGACACTGTGAATGACAATCATAAGTTGTAGGGATCATTTTGAATCAATCTGATCTGAAAATTTTTGTTTACACATCCACTGCCATCAGAAATATTTCACGTATTTCTGATATTTCAGAAACGAATAAATGGTAACTAATTTTGAAAATTAGAAACAGGTCGTAATACTATGAAAGAATATAATTATAAGCAACTACATACCTGAATCAACGACATCTTTCTACCACTGTAATCCTGATTCGTCCTAATAATTTCTCACAAACCAATTGCGACTCCAACGTATGCAACGTTATGTAACCACCTCTAACAGGAAACAGTTGAAAGCGGTAAAGAGGCTTGCACGATGGTTACAAACCTGCCAGCAAGGATTTGAACATGCGCAGTCGTCATTTGCGCATACTGTTGCTGCCATCTCTATGGTGTTTGGCAGATCAAGGCAACTGGAAGGATCAACGGAACTGTTATCCAGCTTTCATCTTTCAACTTTATTTTCGTCCATAACTGAAGCGAATACATTTGGTCATGTCAAGAAATAATAACGAATACATCACGTTTCAAAGTCACATCATATTTACACAGTGATTTATCATTATAACAACCGTTAAAAGGAACACAACAATAAAAAATACAGAAAACCAAAAGAAGAATGAATGTCAGTTATATAAAACACGTAAACACAGTATTAAAAACTGCAAACCAAAAGACAATCAACAAGCTAGTCATCAATCCAACATTAGTTAAAAAATTCTTGAAGAGAATAGAAAGCGCTGCACAGCAAATAATTTTTTAGTTTCCTCTTAAAACATTAAAATTGTTACTGCTTTAATCACTCTTAGATATTTTTTCTGTATTTTAAATACAGTTCCAGAGTCCTTAAGCCCCCATCCCAAAAAATAATACCATATTCCAATACAGATTCAAATGTAGTAAAATATATATTTCTTAGTACAGGTCGGCTAACTGAGTCACATAAGGATTTGATCAAATAAAGAGCCTTGTTGAGCTTTTGGCATACGTATTGAGTGTGAGTTGACCAGCTTAGATTTTCAGTAATACAAATACCCAAAAATTTTACAGTCGATGAATAAATTATTTCCTTAGTATTTAAGCAAATGTGGTCTATAGAATGGAGTAGGTCTTCTTCCCTGAAATAATAATACTTTAGTCTTATCCATGTTTATTATGAGATGATTTTGATGGAACCAATTTTTTAATTGATTCCTAACATTTAGGATTCTTTCATTTAATGATAAAAGATTACTGTCGGTAAGTTGTATATGTGTATCATCAGCAAATAATACGACCTTAGCCTCATGAATAGCTAGGGGAAAATCATTTATGAACATAATAATATGGGTCCCAAAACAGAACCTTCAGGTATACCATGTTTCATGGCCTTGAGTGATGAAGTAAATGTCTTTAAGTTAGAGGTCTTTTGATCCACATGTTGAATTTCAACAAACTGAGTTCTGTCAGTGAGATATGAACTCATCCACACATGAATTATCCCTCTCAGCCCATATAGCTCCAGTTTCGCAAGCAGTAGATTATGATTAATAACATCTAAAGCCTTTGATAGATATAAAAATATGCCCAAGGCAAATCGTTTATTATTTAAAGCTTCCTGAATTTCATCGATAAAACATTTGGATTGCAGTAAAAGTAGATTTATTCTTTCTGAAGCTATTCTGAGCATCCAAGATCACGTTGAATTTATTTAAGAAACTCACAACTCTGTCATACATTAACATTTTAAGAATTTTAGAAAATACAGGCAGGATTGACTCTTCAATAACCACACATTGTTTCATGTCTTCGAGCATCTCACCTGCATCCGCCTGTTTTGCCAGGGGGAGTCTTCTCAGGGGTTGAAAAATTGGTTGGGCCCTCCCATATCTATACAATGATACACTCTTTCGGTCTGTCCATACTCATCACTGTCAATAGGAAAGATCTCTCCATACTCGGTGAGCTCTTTCAACTCTCAGCATTCAGTTTCATTGAAGTTTAGCTTGACTGCTGCAGTCACATCTTGTAACTCAGAGCATTGTCTCAGACCTGTGGCTGTTCCACACTGGCTGGGGTCACCAGCGTGACTGGCTTACAGTGTGCATGGGGGATCCTTTGATGAGCTTCTGGTTGCAGCAGGTAGCGTCAGGATCCACGTGGGTAGTTCCTGGTGGTCCCGGACCAGGGTCCTGGTTATGTAGAGCCTTTTGGGAGGGTGGACCTCTGGACTCTGTTCTACCAAGGGACCTCCCCAATCAAGCCATCACCAGTTGTTTGCAATGTGCAGGTTATCACCTGATCACTGGTCAGTACCAGGCTGGAAGGCTGGGGCCCTGCCCCAGGGCTCCATAGCAATACTACTACTTCTGCAAGACAGTGTTTGGCACCCTAGGTCCACAGATGCATCATATGCATGCAGTATGTCCAGACAAGAGAACTTGTTTGTAATATTAGTGACAAACACACAAATTTTGAGTGGGCACCACCCCAGGGCCAGTGTCAGGATAACTTCCTTCAAGATGGTGGTTGTCAAGAATAGAGATTGCTATATAACAAACTCTGATGTCCACACACGTAATACCAGATTTAATCATGACTTGCATCTTCCAGTGGTAAACTTAACGATATTTCAGAAAGGTGGATGGTATTCTGGTATCAAACTTTATAACCACCTCCCTCCAGAGCTTAAACAATTATCTTATGACATTCCTGGATTTAAAGTGGCGTTAAAGAAGTTTCTTATCACCAGTTCTTTTTATACTGTTGAAGAATACTACTGCTGGAAGAAAGATTGACACCTCATGTATATATTTTAATCATGTATGTAATTTTAAATGTTATTTTGATTTATGAATGTATTATGGTACAGTAGTTTTGTTGTATTTTGACGATGATGAATGTCTGATTATGTATGTATATTTATATGTTATATTGTATTATTGACTTGTTCTGTATCTGAGGCAGATGCCTCTATGGATTTTTTTTGGAACTGTAAATAAATGACACATGACAAAGATGGGGAGGGCTTCCCCAGATAACATCTGCAGTGTGTAACATTGGTTTGGCTGTCTTCCGGGACACTGGGTGGCAGTGTTGGGACTGGCCAATCATGTATGCCCTGGTGTCCACGTCACATGGCATGTTTCATCACTGACCCAGCCCTGTGTGAGCAGGCTAAGGTAGGCCTTTTCCATAATGACAATCAACATGTGATGGGGGCCCTTAAGGTACACACTGGCATTCACAATTTTCAGCCAGCCCTCATCTGATGGCTGGTTATCCCTCCTCTCTCCTTCTCTTTTGCTATTTGGTCACCAATCACACTTTATTGGCAGTCCCCACGTGTCCCTCAGTGGTCTTTCATCTAATTTCCCACACCAGTTATGTTTTCTGCCTCCCTTCCATAGGGCAGCTAACCTAGAAGTGGTCTGTTTCTCCACAGCTACAGCACGCTGACTGTCTTCTGTCTCTCACCCCAGTGGGGGAAATCAAATCCTCCAAAATGTTCTGGCACTCGTTCTGTGGGGTCTGGCATCTAGGAATATGGCCTGCAGTTTAAGGGCCTACCTGAGAGCCTCATTTCCAGCAGCATGTGGATTTTCATGGTGGGATTTCTAAGCTATCTGCAAACACTTTGCCTACTTCCCTACTTATGTAATTCTTGGGTAGTGTGGGGAAGGTGCAGTGGGCAAGCTCTTCAATGACTGTGGCAAATTCTTGCAAGGATTCCAACACTCTGGGTCCTTGCTTTTAGCCAACTGCAATATGCAGCAGCAAAGTGCTGGTCTCCAAAGTGGTCCTCCAGAGCCTCATGCTCTTTGTGGAGGTTGTTCCTTGTATTCTCTGTGTCCTTGTGAAAATCCTTCTTTGTGTATGTTATATCACCCTGGAGACTCCTGGTCCATGTATCAAAGGACGTCTTTACTGTCCATAAGTCCACCTGCATTTCCTCAGTGTTTTCAGTGAGTTCCTTGTTGAGGTCCTGCATCTTTTGGTTGACACATGACAGGACGTCTTCCAACTGATGTTTGACGACCTCTAACTCAGACCAGATGGAGTGTATTGCAGCCTCCATCTTCTTTTGATGTATGTCCAGCCCGGCTTTCATTTCTTCTTGAGTGGACATTATCTTGGCTTGGTGGTTATCCATCTGAGAGATTAGAGTACCTCAGAAAACCTCAAATTTCTCAGTATTGGCCTCTATCCTGGCTTCCATCTTTTATTGACTGTCATCTATCTTGGCATCCATTTTTTTGTTGTTAGCTTCCATCCTTTCTTTGTTATTCTGTATCGTGGCTTCCAGGCTTGCCATCATTTCTTCTTTCATTTCCTTTAGATTGTTGTCTTCCTTGGCTTGGCTGGTTCTCATTTGTGCTTGGTTGATATCTATCTCTTTCCATCATTTCTTGCATGGCTTTCAGGAGTTAACACTTGTTCAGTTTTTGTAGGCTGACCATACAATGATCCAATATAGTTTCCAACTGCTCCCACTTCTAAAACCAGTTGTCATGTAGTTGTGTGAATATAAACAGGGTTTGGATTGGTGAACAGATTTACTGACCACTCACTGGTTGTAACATTGTACCTACAAATGACTATAACATTATAGCTATTTCAACGTTTTACTAGAGCCCAGAGTCTAGTGTTCTCAGTCTTGTTACTAGACGTTTCCTGGTAAGGGCTCCACCAGCGGCTATTCCTCTGCCTCTGTCTCAAGTCCTCTCTTCACAGATTTCAGCAGAGATCTATTAAATGACTTTTTTCCTTGCAAATGCCTACACCCAATGAATACTTTCGAAATAATGTGCCATTAAAGTATCTTCAATAATGAAAAATTATCTACCTGCATACAGCATCAGTAAATTGCCTTATAATACTGATCAATTTTAAAAATTCAAATGTGCAAATGTTCCTTATTTGTTTATTAATTTTTATTATGTTTTAACCTATTTTTAACTCTCCCCCAACAAGTGGTAATTACTCTGCAGTCATATTTGGAAGGTGCATGGCTTCTGTGATTTTCTTCAGTTCCTCCAGGCAAATTCCAGGAGAGTACTGCAATTAGGCCATTACTGCTGCCTTCAAACTCTCTCCAACTCATTACTCATCTCTAACACTATCATTTGGCACTAGCTACTGACAGTGCTGTAAAATAACCTTCCCCCACTATCCTTCCTCACATGCTTCTTTCCTTTCTTCCCATTCCAAAACAGCCATTTTTGTCACTATTGATTCCAAATGGTTCACTTACTGCCTGGTCTTGATCCTCCCTCCCCTTTTCACATGCCAATTTCCCCTTCTCAGCTCACTCCTCCACTCTTCTGAAGACAGTGGCAACAGGTTCCTCTGAAACATTTCTACCTACTGAACTACACAGTGTCACATTCTAGAAATTTGTAATCTGAACAACCTCTACTGTGAGAACCTCAAATCTCGTGGAAAAATTAATGTTCAAAACAGTTCACATTGAGTCAAAAGAATGTCAGTGTCCTGTCATTAAAAGACCCAGTAAAATCATCTTTTAAACCTCTGACACATAGGGAAAATGTATGAGAGTCAATTTTAAAGTAAGAACCATTTTGTATAAACAAAAGAAAACTTTATTCATCCAAATAGTTTTAGTGTCACTACTAGATACAACATGTTTATTGTTCTATGTAGTCCCAATTGCGATTCAGGCATTTGTCCAGATGTTGCACAAGCTGGACTGTCCCCTCATCACAGAAATCACTGAATGCACCTCACAATTGGTGGGATTAGTGATTGACATGTTTTTTTTTTCATAAAACACTAACACAGCCACCAATTCACTCAATAGCTCAGCAAACATACGATGTCTTGGTTCTGTGTTGTTTTTGTAAACTAGGGGAGTTTTTGTTGTATATATAGTTGATATGTTCTTTTTTTTATTTGTTTTATATTATGAATGCCTTGACTTGTCACCCATTTTATACTGTGGATGAATTTGTTGTATATACTAGTCGGTAAGATTAATTGTTTTCTGGTTCTATTCTTATGTCTTGACTTAGTTCTTTGTACTGCTTATTTATCCAATATGACTTTTCCACATCCTAAAGTGTTGGATTTTATGGAAATAATAGATGAGTAATAAAAATGAAAAAAGAGCTTGTGAAACCTTTGAGTTCTATACCGGGGGAGTTTTGTTGTATATATGGCTGATATGTTCTTTTTTTTATTTTGTTTTATATTATGAATGCCTTGACTGTTCCTGTGGGAATTGAATGTTTGTTTTTTGATCCGTGACTCATTCTATATCCAATGGTTGTTTCCCAGCCTGTATTTGGATCTATTTTTGAATTTGAAATAATTTGAATTGAAAAACACTAGGGACCTGGCAGAGGGTCTGATGAGAGCTCTTGAGCTTCAACAACAGCCAGTCAATGACCTGCATGGGTAGAGTGCACAAATGGTTCTTATTTCAAAAATGCTCTATGTATGTTGCATTTTGTTCTGCCTCTGCAGACAATAAATCCAGCACTCTGTGGCAGTGCAGGGGGCTGTGAGTTATTTCACAATACTGCCAGTAGCTACACTATATAGTACAGAACCTAGTGGTGTAATTTTGGGCTTTCTCATAGAGTAAATGGCAGTACTTATGTGCACGCATTTATCAAAGAAAGCCTTCCTTATGGAAAATTAAATCTATTGCATTTGCAACATTTTGTACAGTGAATTTTGGAGCTCGTAGCTTCTCTTCAACAGGCAAGAAGTCACGTGGTGAGTGATCAAGCATTCTGTTTTGAACGCCCTTGGAATACACTCCAGTCTGTAAACAAAGACAACAGAGTCATAAATGTACTCAAGTATACAGTTTTGCGAATATCTGTGGCAATGTAGCAACACAGAATAACGACAGAATTATACAGACAATTCACCAGCACAAGAATGGATGATACATAAACTCGTGGGAACTGCCCACATTCAAGCAAGTGTAACAACGCAAGCGTTATTGCTTAGCAACAACAAGTAAACAACGATTGCTAAGCAATAACGCTTAATATGTCACTAAAGCTAAAATTTTTTGTATTAATTAGTTTCTTTAAAATATGCTTGGAAAACCAGTTACTAATTTATTATGGCAATGAATACGTTCTAATACACTGATCCAAGAGTTCCACTTGCTTCATTCACCCCTACTGGAAAATGAAGCCAAAGCTGTTTACTGGGAACAACACACCTCACAGTCTTTCAAAGTATGCTGAGACTGAAGAAAGCAGTCTTATGGGATGTGGCACCGTGTAGATCTTCGGTGAGCCGTGGCTGCAGCTACCTCCTGACGCTGGTTCCTTCATCACGGATTTCTCTGCCCTGAAGATGGAGGTGATACATTCCTCCAAAACGTCAGTTCACACAACATTTACATGGCACCAGATCCCAGAAGACAGCATTCTTCATGGTCACCACCATTAAAACCTCAATCTTACATATGCAAAAAATGTTTATGATTTTTAAATTGAAATCTCACCTTTAAGGTCTTACAGTAAATACGAATTGCCTAATTGTATGTGACTTATTAAGCTCTGAATTAACTCTTTGACTGGCGCAAAGGGTATTTAAATCCCACCCCTGTCCTGGCAGGCCCTTTAAACCTTATGTCGCTAAAATGCATGTAGTTACTTTTTCCTAAACAACTTCAACAAAAATTGGTTTTTAAAAACGAAATTTTTAGGAACTAATTAAAATACAATATTTTATGCAATAAATGCTTTTCCACACCTATTTATTAGTTTTTCTTCCTGTGATAAACATTGAAACATGAAAGTTTGCAGAGCCACACCACAGCCTGCACATGATACTTGTTCCTTTTCTAACCTTGTGCTTAGCACTTACGCGACACTTTCTCAAGGCACCATTCTTCTTATTGTTACTGTTAGGAACATGGACCATTTTGTGAATTTTCAAGCCACCCTCTAGACGATTTGCTGGCTCTTTCACTGGTGGTTTTTTCAAGGTCGAGGGCGGAGGCGTGACTGCACTCTAGTCTGACCCAATAGATTCGTCATCCACTTCATTCCTTGACTTTTCTCCCTCTCCACACTGTTTGTTTGGTTCAGTCATTTTTCTACACAGTCCAATATAAAATCTTTGAATCTGTAATTTCTCTTCTTGTATTTTTCGTTTGTTGTGTTCTTTTTGAATAGAATGAAACTATTCAACCGCAAAGACATGTTTTGTCCAAACCATGGGTGTGAAATATGGGCCTAGTGGACAAATATTCTTCAATTTCAGGGCGTTTGTCGATTCCTGTCATGAACACAATTCCTAAGTATGTCCAGATTTCATCTGATGTGACATAATTGTAATTGTGTTTTCGAGAGTGAGGAGCTAACTCATGTGTGTTGAAGTGCTGGTGAGCATAGCGATTGGTTTCAGTTGTGATGTGATTTACCAAGTCGTCATCCAGAAAAAATTTTAATCCATGAAAAGGGATGCATTTTATGTGTTATATCAATTTTGATCCCGAAACTATTAGCAAATGGAAATATTGGGGGTACAATGTCTCCGTACGTTCATGAGATGGGCGTGTCAGGCACCGCACTCGTGGTAGGTAAATGTTCATGATTACTGTCTTGTGGATCATTGTCTATCACTGTATTATTGTCACTATCAACTTCATCCAATTCAGGAATCATTATTTCATCGCCACTATCATCATCAGAAAAAATCTCGTTCACAACATTTTCCAGCTGGTCTGTAGGAACACGAAGACACTTGCTGCAAGAAGCCATGGTGAAACTGAATGAATGTGAAATATTTTCTGACCTTTACCTTCTCAGAGGGTTCTGACAGTAATATAGACCCCCACAAAGTTTACAAGGGTTCTTTACAAACATGCACAAAAACTATCATATATATGTCTTTGGTTGATGAGTGCCAAGAGAGCAAAGAAGGGACGAGATTGTCAAAGCGTTAAAACACGCCAACGCCAGGGAACGGCTGGCATCGTCCGGGTGTTAAAACACACCCGCGCCAGTCAAAGAGTTAATCAGCTTCCTGAAAACTGATAATGTTCAAATTTATTTATTCCATATCTTAAAAGTCAAACATGAGGGCTCTACAAAATTCTAAGGTGAAAGAAACATAAGTGCTACAATTTACAATTCTTGAAGCTTCTTTTGAAAATATGAATTTCTATACAGTAACTGTTCTACAAAACTAAATAATCTGACAAAAATGATAAGTGTTTTTGGTCTGATAACAGCTATGAACCATTACAATATGGATATTTGGCATGGCAGAAAATTGTAAGCATGTAAAAACTTTTGTGTAGAAAATTTTCGTGGCTTGATAAGTCCCAAGATAGCAATGGAACAAACTTTGGTGGTTATGTTTAAAAAAATTACATGAACAAGAATATACTATCTCACATCCTGCTGAATCAATTTGTATTCGCTTCCTCATTTGAACACAGGCGTCAGGCAAGGATCATTCTGTATATTTTAAATTAGGCAATTAGACCAACAGCCAGAACCAACCTGCCCATAAAATGAGATGCACTGGCATTAAAATTAACAATTAATAAAAACAAGATAATGACAAATTTGGCTCAAGTGACAATACTTCTGAGTTATATTGCAGAGGTGCCGCATTAAAATTTTGGTCAGGAATGCCTGAGGTTCCTCGTGAGTTCGTCAGTCCCTCCAAGCAAATTCTGGGACAGTATCTAAAATTAGGTCATAACTTCTTCGCTCAACATCGTTTCCATTTCACTATTCGCTACCATCCAATCATTTGCCTCTACACAATCTGAGTTACTCACAGCATCACTAAATAAACTACAAATAAATAAACAAATAGAAATGAGACAACATAGTTTACATTCTAGATTCTGAATTTAAAACAAAGTTGTTCCACCACTTGGGCAGAACAGAAAACATTCTGCCACTTCAAAATGTTACTTTCACATATCCAAGGAAATCTAACACATTCCTCACAGACAGAGGATTTGCATTTTTTATTGTAGAAATACCACCAGTAGTTATTAAATTTGGGATGTTCACATTTCTTGCTGTTTAATGGCAGATTCAATGTCAATGATTGATACACACCATAATCCAGTCACTGTGATGAACCTACCACTGTCACAAACTTTGAGGAAATGACAACCAGTAGCACACTGCTAAGAAAGATGGCTCACCTGAACCAGAATGCTTGAGCAAGATTCTGCACTATAGTCCCAGACTGAGGTATCAGACACAAGTAATTCTTCAACACTTCTTTCTAGATTCGCGATCCTTTTGCTTTCTTGCACATTTCTCCTTGACAAATAACGGTCATATAAATTTGCACCAAACACATCGGTATAAATGTTATCTCTGTAAACAGAAAACAATCACTTTCATTGCAACATGCTCTGTTTGTTGTTTGTTAATTTTACGATGTATCAACTGCTGGGGTTATGTACCAGAAAACATAATAGTGTATATAAGAACACCGCAAATGAGAAGTTGGAGAGGTGTGGGGAGGAATTAGGACCTCTAGTATATACAAAATTATAATTTTGCCTGTGGTTCTCTATGGGTGTGAAACTTGGTCTCTGACATTAAGAGAGGGACATAGATTGAGGGTGTTTGAGAGCAGGGTGTCAAGGAGAATATTTAGACTGAAGAGAGATGAAGTGACAGGAGGCTGGAAAAAACTGCATAATGAGGAGCTTCATAACTTGTACTCTTCTCCAAGTATAATTAGAATTCTCATTTCATGCATCCTGTTGTGTTATAAATACAGGGTTATTCAAAAAGAATGAACCGATTTTATATCGCAATATTTTATTAAAGGAAAGCAATACAAAACTCCAGCTAAGTCACAAGTATTCTACTCCTGCCTTACAAGTGTTCAATGTGGCTACCACCTGCAGCACTGGCAACATCAATGTGATAAGAGAATTCTTCCCAGGTACATATCAGCATATCACGATGCACTAAGTTAATCACTGTTGTTATTCGATGTTTAAGGTCATCGAGGTTAGTGGGTAGTGGTGGAACATAAACGTGATCTTTCACATATCCCCACAAGAAGAAATCACACACAGAGAGGTCTGGGGATCTCGCAGGCCAAGCACAAAGAGCAAGGTCTTGGGCCCCCTTCCGACCAATCCATCGCTGGGGCACCTTTTCATTTAAAAAAGCTTGGACCATCAGGTGCCAATGGGGCAGTGCTCCATCTCGTTGAAAAATGAAGTCATGCAAATCTGCTTGCAGTGACATGAGTGCTAGTTTTGGAGCATATCAAGATAGGTTTGTCCTGTAACAGTGTTTCCTTCAAAGAAAAAGGGACCATAAACCTTGTCCTGAGACACAGCACAGAAGACATTCACCTTAGGGGAATCTCTTTCATGCTCAACTGTTTCATGTGGGTGTTCTGTTCACCAAATACACACATTGTGACAACTGACTGTGCCGCTCAAGTGAAAAGTCGCTTCATCACTAAAAATTAAACGTGAAATGAAGGTTTCATCTTCCATCATCTCCAACATCGAATAACACAAAATTCCATCCGCTTCCTTTTGTCGTCATTGGTAAGTGCCTGAACGAGCTGCAGTCTGTATGGTTTCAAATGTAGACACACTGTTAGCACACACCAGACAGTGGATTGAGGGATCGCAAGCTCACGGCTAGCTCGATTTGTTAACTTCCGCGGGCTCCTCTCAAATGTAGCACAGATTCTCGCCACTTGTTCCTCCGAGACTCGTGGTCGTCCTGGACTTTTTCCTTTACACAGACACCCACTCTCTTGAAACTGTCGAAACCACCACCGAATGTTCTTAGGACAGGGTGGATTAATGCCGAATGGCCTTTGAAAAGCATGCTGCACTGTGACAACCAAATTTGTTTTCGCGAACACGAGAACGCAGAACGCCTTTTGCTGAGGACTCACCATTCCGAGGGTAAACGAACAACTGAACGCTGCCGGAAGAATGACGCGACTTCAGCGCCCCTGTGGCAGCCATTCACAACTTAGATAACTCCTCTTTCAAATGGTCACTGACTCATTTCATGACGATGCTTGAGAACTGAAGCAATGCGTCATGAAATCGGTTCAATCTTTTTGAATAACCCTGTATACAATTTCTTTATTAGAACCATCATAACACAACTATATTAAGGTCAGTGCCAAGTTTGGCTCTGCTACATGTTTCAGCTATTAAGAGCCATCATCAGGCAAATACATGTCTCACATATATAAACCACTGAACTGCAGTACTAGTAAAACTGGATACAATAATATTAATTATATTAAAATACTTGGCATAAAAATACAATAAATTAGACTATATAAAACAAAAGTTATAGTATAAAACGAGAATAAAATTCTTCGAGTGATGCTTTACGTCATCGAGTCAGTTGTTGGTTTTTGTGATTTTGTTGTGTTCCCACAAACAAACTGGAGTATTCTATATTTTATGTATATATAATAAACTGTTTTGGAGGCTCGTGATGTAGATGGAGTAATATTAATGTTAATCTGAAAATGATATGAAAGTTTTGTTATAATTTTGTTATAATTAACAATTACACCTAAATGATAATTTTACAACAATGTTTAACCCTATATATGATGTAATCATTGATACATACAAAACATAATATACAGTCATACCCCCCTCCCCCTTTTCCACCACTTCCTCATACACCTTATCTCTACCTACTCCCTCCCTTGCATTGACTTTTATCATACATCACCAAATCAGTCGTTTACATTCCCTACAGAATGGACAGTACTTTGTAAGATGAGGCACTGACTAAATAGTCAGTAAACAATACACTATATCTTCAAGACAAAAATCAATTGTTAATTATAACAAAATTTAATATTGTTACTTTCATATCATTTTCAGATTAACATTAATATTACTCCATCTACATCATAAGCCTCCAAAACAGTTTATTATATATACACAAAATACAGAATACTCAAATTTGTCCATGGGAACACAACAAAATCACAAAAACCAACGACTGACTCGATGATGTAAAGCATCACTCGAAAAATTTTATTCTCGTTTTTTTTTTGTTTTATATAGTCTAATTTATTGTACTTTATGCCAAGCATTTTAATATAATTAATATTACTGTATCCAATTTTACTAGTACTGCAGTTCAGTGGTGTATATATGTTGGACGTGTATTTGCCTGATGATGGCTCTTAATAGCCGAAACATGTAGCAGAGCCAAACATGGCACTGACCTTAATATAGCTGTGTTGTGACGGTTTTAACCTTTAACATCCGAATGGCACATATATAGGTCGCAAGCAGCAACTGGAGTTGGCCGAATGACCTGTATATATGCCGCAGGACACATGCTCTCTTTGGGAGTTGGGCAGTTTGACCTTGGGTTGGAAACCAAAACAAACCTACGTGAGGTCATATCAGTAGTTTATTCCTTAGCTCTGAACAATGAAATTGTTTATCACAGTACTGGTTTCAATACTATTTACGTTTAGATATGACTGTTTATGACCTGGTCACCAAAATATAGCCCAGCTTTGTTTCAAGAACTTATGAGGAAATATTCATCGGTGCTTGCATATGAGCACTTGCAGAGCCTTCAAGGAAGTCTGATGCATTCAAGGATTTTATTTCAGTAGCGAATTATCAGTCAGGAAGTCAGTGTCGGATTGTCTAATATTTCTTTATCAGTTAGAAAGTCAGTGTCAGACTGTCATATATTTCTTTGTATATTATTTTATTTTGCGTCTTGGAAGAGGTATAAACCCATTGAGCCAGTATTACTTTGTGAGTAAAAGGCATCTTCGCCACTGCGACTTTCAGTATGCGTCGGACTGGCACTCTTTTCGACTAGTATTATAATTACTTCGCATCACTATTTTGCGAATATTACCAACAGGTGAGAATGTCACTTTGTCAATCAACATAATTTATTCGATTTTGCTAGAAACCCCCCTCCCCAAAGATGATTCTTCAATCGCACAAGCCGAATATCACGGTCAGTGGCGTTTCTCGGGGGGAGGCCAAAGTTATCAGGGGGCCCAACTGAGTTGACTGGAGGTGAAACATTCACAACACTGGCCAACCAAAGGGAAACAAAGACGTTGTCGTGTTTCGCTAAATAAGAAAAGCAGGAGCATGCTCTTCTATTGTAAAAAGTGTGATTTTGCTCTGTGTGGACTGCTTCGAGAAGTGCCATGCGTGTCAGTGTGACTATCATAGTGAAGTGACTGTGAAGTGACGTAGTTCAAACTCACATACAGTAATATTATTGTATATAGAGCGATTATATTTACAATATCACCAAGTCTCAAAGCTGAATATGACAAGGCGAATATCACGGTCAGTGGCATTTCTCGGGGGAGGCCAAGGTTACCTGGGGCCCAACTGAGTCGACTGGGGGTGAAACATTCACAACACTGGCCAACCAAAGGGGAAAAAGACGTATTTGTTCTGAAAATAAGAAGTGCAGAAGCACGCTCTACTACTGTAAAAAGTGAGAGGTTGCACTATGTGAGTTCGGCTGCTTCGAGACGTGCGTTGCGCTATGCGTGTTGGGCTGCTTTGAGAAGTAGCACACACGCATCAGAGTGAGAGTTATCGTAAACTGTGAAGTGACGCAGTTCAAACTCGCGTACAGGCTGAACAAAATATTATTGTATATAATGTGATTATATTTACAATATCACCATGATTCAAGGTTGAAGAAAAAACAACGGGTAAGTCCTTTGGAATTTCATAACATATATAATAAAGATTATATTTTGCAATTCATGACAAAATAATCACAGTTAATTTTGTTTTATAAAAATTGCTCTTCTGTGTACATGTAGAAAATGTTATTGTCTTTCAGGTTGTTTTTACTTTTTATTTCTATGTTGCATAGAACGGAAAATATGGATTTTTTCCTGACGGTTTGCAATGTTAATTAATTAGGGTGATTTAAATATCGTCCGCAGAGGGATCCCGGCAATTTAAAAGTCCGTACATTGAAGGTTAATAAAGAAATTGTATAATTAGAATGATCAAGTCAAGGAGGATGAAGTTGGCAGGGCATGTAGCATGAATGGGGGAGACGAGGAATGCATATAGGATATTGGTGGGAAACCCAGAAGGAAAGAGACCACTGGGAAGACAAAGGCACAGGTAGATGGAAAATATTAAAATGGATCTTAAAAGAGATAGGAGTGGATTGTATGCATTGGATTGATCTGGCTCAGGATAGGGACCAGTGGAGGGCTTTTGTGAACATGGTAATGAACCTTCAGGTTCCATAAAATGCTGGGAAATTCTTGAGTAACTGCAGAATTGGCGGATCCTCCAGATGGGCTCAGCTCCATGAGTGAGTGAGTAAGTAAGATGTCA